AGATCTGTGTCCTTCACCCACAAATATTTTAGCATGTTGTCATTAATAAGAGTTCAGTATTTGTTTACAGCTTTTAGATAAGATTACATACAGTTAAATGGACAAATCTTAAGTGTTCCATTGTATGTGTGACATACAAACCTATATAACCCAAACTCCTATCAAGATATAGAGCATTACTACCACCTAAAATTTATTCTTGCCCCTTCCCTGTCAATCCCTGCCCTCAAGCTCCCCAGAAGTAACTTCTTCCACTGTATGTTAGTTTTGTACACCCCAAATTTTCCTATAAATGGAGTCACGCTGTACAAACTTTTTGTGTCTGGCCTCCCTCATGCAGCAGGTTTTTGGGATTCATCCATGCTATTGTGTTCATCAGGGGTTCATTCCTTTTTACTGCTGTTTAGTTTAAATGTATCACAGTCTGTTTATCCACTGTCCTGTCAATGGGCACCTGGAATGTTTCCAGTTCAGCGTGATTATAAGTGAATCTATTACTATAAACATCTTTAGATGGACATATAGTTCTCTTGAGTAGGAATATAATTTCTGGATGATAAGATAGGTATATGCTTACTTTCATAGGAAACTAAGAGACTCTTTCCAAAAGTGCTTGTATCATTTTATATTCCCCTCAACAATGTATGAAATTTCTGGCTACTTCACACTCTCACCAACATGGGACATTATCAGTCTTTTTAATTTTTAGGCTTTCTGGGGAGTGTGTGATAGTATCTTATTATGGTTTTAACCTTCAGTTCCTTGATGACTAATAGGCTGAACATTTTTTCATGTGCTTATTAGACACTCATATATCCTTTTTTTTTTGAAGCATCTGTTTCCATGTTTTACTTATTTTGTGGTGCTGGAGTTCTTTGTATATCTTAGATACTTTGACGTTTTGCAAATGTTTTCTCCCAGTCAGTGGTTTGTCTATTCATGTGTTAATGGTCTCCTAAAAATATATTTTTTAAAATTGCATTCTTATCTGGAAATGGGAAAAATAATTTTATTTGAGATTCAGTGGGTACATGTGAAGGTTTGTTGCCTGGATATATTGTGTGGTGTTGAGATCTGGACTTCAAATGAACTTACCACCGAAATAGTGAATAAAGCATCCAATAGATAGTTTCTTAACAGTTGTCTCCCTCCTTCCATCCCAACTTTTGGAGATCCCAGTGTCTCTTGTGCCCATCTTTATGTCCATGTGTACCCAATGTTTAGCTTCCACTTAAAGTGAGAACATGTGATATTTGGTTTTCTGTTCTTGTGTTAATTCACTTAGGATAATGGCCTCCACCTGCATCCATGTTGCTGCAAAGGACATTATTTCATTCTTTTTTTTATGGCTGTGTGGTATTCCATGTACTGTGTATACATACCATATTTTCTTTATCCAGTCCACTGTTGATGGGCACCTAGGTTGATTTCATGTCTTTACTATCGTGAATAGTGCTACAATAAACATGAGAGTGCAGGTGTCTTTTTGGTAGAATGATTCATTTTCCTTTGGGTATATACCCAGTAATGGGATTGCTGGGTCAAATGGTAATTTTATCTTTAGTTCTTTGAGAAATCTCCAACATGCCTTCCACAGGGGCTGAACTAATTTACACTCCCACCACCAGTGTATGAGCATTGCCTATTCTATACAACCTCGCCAGCATCTGTTATTTTTTGCCTTTTTAATAATAACCATTCTCACTGGCGTGAGTTGGTATCTCATTATGGTTTTGATTTGCATTTTTCTGATGAACAGTGATGTTGAGCATATTTTCATGTTGGCTGCTTGTATGTCTTCTTTTGAGAAGTTTCTGTTTATGTCCTTTTCCCACTTAATACCATTCTTCTGTTGTTATTCTGACGTATTTTAGGAACAAAGAAATGAGCATGTTCCTTTATCGTTTTTGTTCTGATAATAGGATTAAATGTGATTGAAGCTTTTAATGCATAACCCTTTATTTTTGGTTGTGCACTATTCTGAAAAAATGTCTTAATTCATATCTGCTTGTCAAAGTTTAGTGGAATAGAAACAATAAATCAATAGAAGTACAACAAGATGTGCTTTTGGCATTTATTCCATTGCTTAAGCATTTTATTTTAGCCTAATGGGGAAGATTAAAGCCTCCAATTTTTTTGTATTTGTTTCAGATAGCACTAAGATCTTTTTAGGGTGCTATTAAATATTAAGACTTCCATTAAAACTTCTCAACAAGCAGTTAATACATTCAAAGATATTTTCAGGTAGTCTAGTGGGTTGATACATAAAATAATGTGTGCATTTTCTGGGTTATTGTTCTAAGCTTATAGATGTTTACAGAATTACTAATATTAATTTATAGGCAGTTGAATTTACTTTTTTCTTTAAGGGATAAATGTCTTGGACTATAATCGTAAGCACTGATTCATACTTTCTTATTTATGCAAAGTAAGGAATAATGAACATTTAATCTAGTTGGCCAGTAGATTTTTTCCAAAGATTAAATCGTTTAGATTGTTTTCAAGCCAGATAATTGGTTTTACCTATTGGGGTTCTTGCAAATTTGTTTCTAGATAATATCAGTGATACGTAAGTGAGTAGTGTCATTTTAGGTTTGGGATTGTTATTGGGAGGGTTGAATTTCATTGTTGCACTTGAACTGAGAACTACCTAAACCGTAGCATAATGGATTATGTTGGGTTTGGTTATTTGTGAGAAAACTTAAGATAGAAGTCAGTTTCTTCCTCATGGCAAAAGATTTAGAGGTAGCCTCAAGCATGGCAGCTGCACGGTGATCCAGAATCTAAGCTCCTGTCTTGTTGTTCTGTCACTTTTTAAATGAGATGTAGGCTCGCTGTGTTGCCTAGGCTGACTTGAACTTCTAAGCTCTAGTAAGCCTTCTGGCCTCAGCCTCCTGAGAAGCTGGGATTATAGGTTTGTGCCACTGCACCCTGCTTCTGTCATTTTTAACCTTTCACTTCTTGATCCTTCTTGGAAGGGGGAAGGGACAAAGAAGAGAAGGAGAGAGAGGCTGTATATCATTTGTCTTTCAAAAAGATTTCTGGGAAGCTACAGTATAACTTGTTTATGTGCTATTTGCCAGAACTTAGTTTATATCTATGCCTAAGTGCCAAGCAAGCTGGCAATTATAGTTTTTTTTTTTTTTTTTCTTTTTTTCCCCTGGGCTGTCATGTACCCATTTGAATAAAAATTGGGGAAGAAAGCAAGAACAAATACTTGAATAGCAGTGGACAGCCTATTCCATAGTAAGTAAAGCAGCATACAGAAAGTTAGGAATCCTCTAACTGACTACCACTTGCCCGCTGACCCTTATTTGGTCCTGGGCTCTTTCAGGAAACTGATAAAAGTTATGGACCCTATCCTAAGAAAAGTGCATCTGTGTGTACATATGCATGGGATTCTGTGGGATTGTTTCTTTGGAGCCCATCCATGAACCATTGCCTAAGAGGTTGTGTATGGACCCACTATTAAGATTTCTTGTTATAGGTTGGGTACTGTGGCTCATGCCTGCAATCCTAGCACTTTGGGAGGCCTAGATGGGAGGATCACTTGCATCCAGGAATTCAACACTAGCCTGGGCAGCATAGTGAGACCCTCCCTCTACAAAAAAATTAGCTGGCTGTGGTGGCATGTGCCTGTAGTCCCAGCTCCTTGGAAGACTGAAGTGGAAGGATTGCTTGAGCCTGGAAGATTGAGGCTGCAGTGAGCTTATGATCTCTCTGGGTGACAGAGTGAGACTCTGTCTGGAAAAAAAAAAAAAAAGATTACCTATGATAATGTTTCACTGCAAGACAGTTGTTTATGAATTTTTACATGGCTTTTAAAAGATTTTGTTATTCACTCACACAATCAATTAAAGTTTGCTCTGTATTTAGTCACTATGATAGAACTTGAAGATTCAAAGAACCATAATATTCTATTAAGTTCTTACTGTGTGCCTGGCATGGAATTGGAAACTTAAGTACATTATTCATTTCTTACATTTTACAAATGAGGAAATAATCTGCCTAAGATTTTACAGCTAGTGAATGATAGATCTAGTATTTGAACTCAGGTCCTTTTAGTTATCATGAAATAGACACTTAACCATAAGCATGAGACACACTGGGCAGAGGATATTTTAGTGGTTCAGTTTCACTTGCCAGTCATTTAGGCACTTGCCTATGTAACTAGGAATCTCTTTGTGCCTCAGTTTTCTGTTAATACTCTGCAAAGGCACTTAAAATGTTTAAGTGTGTGATGATGCTGCCTTTCTGATTTTGTATTTTTTCCTTGCAGTCAGTATGATACATGGCATATGATAAATATCAACTGGTAGTCTAAGAGTAATACAAAATGATCATATTTGAAAATGTCTTGTCAGCATTCAAACTATATATCATTTAAAAATTCTATGGAAACCACCTTTTGATCACCTCGTAAAGCAGAGCTCACTGGTGCTGTGTTTGTGTTCTTTTTTCTCACAAGTGTGCTGTTATGTATGCTGACAGCATCACACATGGAATTTAGCATAAAAGCTTTTTGCTTCAAGCTGAGGTTTTTGACCCCACCAACAATACAGATGTTCTCATAATTTCCTCTCTTCAGCCCCTTTATAAATCAAAAAAAGTAGAAAAGGGAAAATTACATGAGTAATTACAGTATTGGATTACTGTAGAAAACCATTTCAGTTCTTTAAAATTCTCTTTTCAACTTTAGTTTCAAATCACCAGCTTCTTAAATGGCAACTTTCTTATATTGACAGGCTCTAAATTATGAATGTACCATTTATTTATCAGTTGACACCTCTGCCTCTTGTTTTATTAGAAACATTTTCTTTTCTAGTGAGAGTACTGCTGATTCTAATTGTAGAGATTAGATTTGACTTCAGAAGTGTGCATAATAAGCAAAGCAACTAAGTGATAGGCCTGCTGCTACTTTCTTATCTGTGTACATAAACTATCGTAAACCAGTGTTTGGTCATTCCTTCCTTAAAGTGTTGATTCTAATTTAATTGTAGGGCGATTTGATGAAACTGTTATTGAAGAGAGAAGACAGTGTGCTGAAGACCTGCTACAGTTCTCTGCCAATATTCCTGCTCTTTACAATAGCAAACAGCTTGAAGATTTTTTCAAGGTTTGATAGTCTTTCTGGAATATTTTATATCTTATTAAATACTTTTGTAATTTGTAGTAAAGTAATAGAAAATGTCATTTACTTTTGAATTTCGTTATTCACTTTAAAAGTAGAAATTAATAGCTCTCTAATAATGTTCATGGCATAGCTCCTATTTTTAATGTAGAAATGTATGCTTTTTTATTTTTTTTGAACTGGTTCTGCTATGTTGCTTAGGCTGTTGTTCAGTGGTCATTGACAGGTTTGTGATCATGGCGTGCTACAGCCTTGACTTCCTAGGCTCAAGCCTCCTCTTATCTCAGACTCCTGAGTGTTTTTGATTCATAGATCTTAAAAAATTGATGCGAAGAGCTTAGAGATTATTTAACTCTATCTGTCATAATTGAAATACATTAAAAAAATTAAGTGTCATGAAACTCCAGTACTTGCCTTTACTTTTTGAGGTGTCTGTTTCAGTGGCAGATTTATCTTGGAATATAAGCCACTGTAAGTCTATATTAAATTTGTTATAATTATATTGACTTGTTTGTAAAGATATGTAATACTGCACAGTTTAAGAGAGCAGGCCAGTGCAAATTATATTACTGTTGATCATTGGATATTACTGTTTTAAGTTCGTAGACATGTAATGCTTTCATTTTAAGTTTTTTACCATTTTAAATAATAATTTCCTAATTTATTTTGAACTGAATCTGTACATGTTGACAGTTATATCATTGTATTTAATTGTCACATTTTTCTTGTTGCATTGAATTAGCCTTCTAAAAAAAAAAAAAAAAGAAACCTAAGTGATTGTGCCATAATTGTTTTTACTTCTTTAACTAAAATCTACTCCCTTGTGTAGATTAAATTTCTTAGACTGTATAACCAGTGATATATATGAATAGTGGTATATTTGGTTTTTCTGATCCTAGTGGATCTACACATAGTTATTTATTTATTTGTTTATTTTTTTCTGCCAGCGCTTTGTCATCCAGGAATTTATTTTTTATGATCTGTTTTATCTACTGAAGAAAGTTCTTTTGAAAGACATTGCAGATTTACAGTAATAGAAATAAAGGATAATGATAGCAGAATTTGTAGTAACAATAACATTCCTGATGATTGACCATGTTGCTTAATTTTTCCCCATTCTGCAAATTAGACTGAGATAATAAATTTGGCTTCTGCATATGGCCCAATGCAGATCTTTAGTTAAAGGCCAAGTTAAATTGATAGAATATTTATCACTTTGCTGTGCTTTGTTATAATTGTTTCTGTGTGTCAAGGAGTCTGTTTTTTATGGAAAAAGACATTATTATTAAACCAGAATATTGCTTTATAGAAATCGTGAAAAGCTGTCATGCAAATTACCAGATGCCATATAGCTAAAAAAATTTAGGGATTATGGAAGTCAGATTGAAGACTTTAGACAGTTTAAGTAAAAGTTACTTTTTATTATATTTCTTCCTGATTGTAACTGTTGCTGGAAGTCACTGGGAAACAAGACTGTCATTTTCAGGGTTTTTGAAAGATTGGACAGTTTAAGAGAAGTCAAGCTAATCTTGGAAAGTATCTTAGAACTGTCTTCAACGGTGTGCTAGGCAGGAGCAGGATACTGATTTGGTAATATCACAACAGTGGCCTTCAGTCATTTTAAATAAAAGAAACTAAGCAGGAAAAAAAAAAAAACTCATTACATTAGCTTGAACAACAATAACAAAAAAATAGTCTTATTTCTTATACAACAAGAAGGATGAGTGAGGATGGTAGTCCAGGGCTGGCATAGAGAGCTCAGTAATGTTGACATAGGTTCCTGGGTTTGGGTGTGAAAGGCAAAAGGCCAAAAGAAATATGTCAGTTTTTAAAAGCTTTCCTAGAAACATGATCTAGAGATAGCCCTTCTTACATCTCATTGGCCAGAACTGGGTCACATGCCCATCCTTAATTTGAAGGAGTCTGGGAAGGTGACACTTAGCTTTCTAGTTCTGATCATGGATGAACGTGGGGTGGGAAGATTTTGGGGTAGCTAATTCACAGGGTGTGCTATATATAGTATCATAGTTTATTTTTCTCTTTAGAAACATTGATGCTGCCACATGCAAATGACCATATAGCCACTTGCTTACATTGACTTTAAAAAAACACATACCTAAGAGTAGAAGGAATAGTATTATGAACCTCTATGACCCATTGCTTGGTTTCAGAAATTATCGGTATATTGCCAAACTTGTTTTATCTACATCTTTCCATCTCATACTCTTTACTGGTTGGTTGGTTGTTCATTAGTATTAGTACAGTTACAGATTGTAAGTGTACAATTAACTGATTTTCAGTAAATTTATAGAGTTTTGCACCTATCACCAACATATTCTTTTTTTTTGAGATGGAGTTTTGCTCTGTTGCCCAGGCTGGAGTGCAGTGGTGTGACCTTGGCTCACTGCAACCTCTGTCCCTTGGGTTCAGTGATTCTCCTGCCTCTGCGTCCCGAGTAGCTGGGAATGCGGATGTGCACCAGCATACCTAGCAACTTTTTGTGGTTTTAGGAGAGACAGGGTTTCACAGTGTTGGCCAGGCTGGTCTTGAACTCCTGACCTGAAGTGATCCACCTGCCTTGGCCTCCTAAAATTCTGAAATTACAGGTGTGAGCCACTGTTCCCAGCCAATGTACAATTTTAGATCATTTCCATTACCTCACTGCTGTGTAAGCTCCCTATGGTGATCCCCTTTTCCATCCCTACCCTGGGGCAACTAACTGTCTGGTTCTGTCTGTAGATTTGCCTTTCCTCCCCATTTCAAATACATGGAACTATATAATATATGTAGTGTTTTGTTCACAATATATGTATGTAGGTTTCTTTTACTTAGCATAATGTTTTTGAGCTTCAGTCATGTTATATTATATACCAGTATTTCATTCCTTTATATAGCTGAAATGTATTTCATTATATAGATGATACCACATTTTTTTCATTAGTTGATAAATTGATGGACATATTTGGATGTTTCTGTTTTGGCTGTTATGACTAATGCTACTGTGAATATTTGCATACAAATCTTTGTGTGGATATATGTTTTCATGTCTCTTGGGTGATTCCTGAGGAGAGGAATTGCTGGGTCTTATGGTAAGTTCATGTTTTTAAGAAATTGCTAAATGGTTTTTTAAATGGACTATACCATTTTGCATTCAGCCAGTAATGTCTGAACTTACCAGTTGTTTCACAAAATCACCAACACTTGGTATTGTCTGATTTTTTAGCGGTAGCTCTTCTCGAAGGTATGCAGTGGTATTTCATTGTAGTATTAATTTCAGTTTCCTAATGGCTAATGATGTTGAAACATATTTTCCTGTGCTTTTTTTCATATATATCTTTGGTGGAATATCCATTAAAATCTACCCAGTTTTTTTATTGGGTTGTCATTGAGTTGTAAGTGTTCTGAATATATTCTGGATAAATAATCTTATCAGATAAGTGATTTGTAAATATTTTCTCCCCAATCTGTAGCCTTTTAGTTTTCTTAATGGTGTCATTTGAAGTGCAAAAGCTTTTAGTTTTGATGATATATAGTTTATAATATTTTTTTCTTTTTTGGGTTATACCTGTCATACCTAGGAACTTTTTGAGTAACCCAAGATCATGAAGATTTTCTTCTGTGTTTATTTCTAGATTTCTAGAAGTTTTAATGTTACAGTTAGGTCTATGATTCTTTTTTAGTTCATTTTATATAGGGCGTGAAGTAATAGTTTAAATTCATTTTCTGGTATTTGTATATCTAGTATTCTGAGCATCATTTGTTGAAAAGATTATTCTTATTGAATCACCTTGGCATACTTGCTGAAAATAAATTGACTGTAAATATGATGACTTACTTCTGGACTGTTGATATGTTCTATTAATCTGTGTGCCTGTTCTTATGCTAGTACCATACTGTCTTGATTACTGTAGCTTTTTAAGTATTGAAATCAGCCAGTGTAAGTTTGCTTACTTTACTTTTTCAAAATTGTTATGGCAGTTTTGAGTTCTTTCAACTTTTCTACTTCCGTAAAAATTTTTAGCATCAGCTTATCTATGTGAACAAAAAATTCTTATGGAATTTTAAAATTATTTTATTTATTTATTTAAAGAATTGGGGTCTCACTTTTGTCATTCAGGCTGGGATGCAGTAGCACAATTATAGCTCACTTTAACCTCAAACTCTTGGGTTCAAGGGATTCTCCTGCCTCAGCCTCCCAAGTAGCTGGGACATGCACCACCATGCCCAGGTAATTTTTAAATTTTTTTGTAGAGACAGGGTCTCACTCTGTGTCCCAGGCTGGTCTTGAACTCCTGGCCTCAAGTAATTCTCTTGTCTCAGTCTCCCAAAGTGCTGGGATTACAGGTGTGAGTCACCACACCTGGCCAAAGGTGGAAACACCTGCTAAAATCCTCCAGCTTGATTCTTTCCTAGCTGAACTACTTTGGCTTACTCCTCAGATTTCTGATTGGAATCTTATTGACTCTGTAGTTCAGTTTGGGGAAGATTGTCATTTTAACAATATTATCTTGCAATCCATGAAAATGAAATGACTATATTTTTTCAGATATTCTCTAAATTCTTTAAGCAACGTTTTGTAGTTTTCAGGGTTTAAGTCTGGGGCTTCTTGCCTTAAATTTAGTTGTAAGCATTTTAATCTTACGCTATTTTGAATGAAACTGTGTTTTCTTTTCACATAGTATTATGCTTTAAGGGTTTATTCATGTTGTGGCATGCATCAGTACTTTATTCCTTTTTGTGATTGTATAATATTCCTGTGTATGGACTATGGGTCTACCACATTTTATTTATCTACAGTGTGTGTTGGTACATTCTTGGGTTGTTCTCCCTTTGGCTGTTATGAATGGTGCTGTTATGAATATTGACATACACGTTTTTGTGCAGACATGTATTTTTGTTTCTCTTAGATACATATCTAGGAGTGGAATTTAGGTGGGAAGTTTTTTAAATTAGATTTAGAGGATGTGTGTGTGTATACATATATTTATGTTTTCAAGGTACATCCAGGTTGTAGCATGCATCAGTAGTTTATACCTTATTGTGACTAAATAATATTTCATGGAATGGTTATGAATATACCACATTTTGCTAGTCTGTTCATTGGTTGATAGTCATTCAAATTGTCGTTGCTTATGGCTGTTATGAAAAATGCTTCATTTGATCCTTTTTTAATAATTTAGATTTATTTATATATGCTATTTCATGAGTCATAGTCCTTTTAATTCTTTAATCATGTTTTCCTTTGATAATTTGAACATATTTATAATAGCTGCTTTGAAGTTTTTGCCAAGTCCAACATCTCTGTCCCCTCACAGATAGTTCGATGGACTGGTTACCCCCATGTTTGGGTCACATACTTTTCTGTGTCTTTGCATGTCTCTTAATTTTTTTTATTGATTGGAAATTGAACATTATGGATAATATACTATAGAACTCTAGGTTCTGATTTTTGTTTTCTCCCTGAGGGTTCTTGCCGTTTTCTGTTAGTTTGTTTAGTAACTAGCATTTTCTGTTAATGTATTTAGTCTGTAGTCAATCTGTGGAGTCCATTTCCTGTTAAGTGTGTGACTGCTGATATCCCTGCCCAATATTTAATTTTAATTTTATTTTTAAGCCAGGCTCTGTAGTGGCTAGCCCTGTGTCAGCATAGCTTTGTGGTCAGCCATTGTTCGGTCATTGCTTGTGCTTAAACACCTGTGCCATTATATGCTTTTCTTTTAATGCTGATGATTTTTTAATGTGTTCTCAAAGTCTCAGCTGTTTTTAAAATTTGCCCTGGCTTTTACTTTCCTCTGAAGTCTTGAATTTCCTCTATGCCTGTGCACTGTCTCATGGTTTGCAAGGTATTGTTGGATAGCTTGACCCCTCTCTGGTCTCTATTACATGGATGGGTCGTGAGCTTTATTAAGACTCCCTATGGCTGTATTATTTTCTGGATCTCCCTCCTGTCTGATCTTTTGCTGACTGCAGCTTCAGGTGTGCTGAGCCATCACTTTTCCTTGCCATATATTTGGCCTTGAGTTTGCTACTATTATTGACAGTAATATTTGGGGTGGATTTTTAAATTTTTTTCTGTGCTTCAATCCAAATCATGTTAGCCTCCTCAAAAGTGAACCTACTGGTTTTCAAGGCTTGCCTTGCCCTTATAGAATTACTGTGGCCACCCAGCTGGGTTGGGGGATGGAAAGAACTGAGGCAAGAACGTCACGGATTTTCATAGTTCTTACCTGTGGTTCTGTGGTTTCTCAGTAACCTCTGTTTCATTTGCTTTATGCTTTTAGTCAATTTCCAGAGCCCTCAGTGGTGGTTTTGACAGGTTTCTAAAGATTTATAATTGCTTTTTGGGGAAAGAATTGCCGATTTCCTTACTCCACTATACCAGAAGTCCTTCCCTGCTAGACTCTTCATTAACAAAAAAACTTTGAGATACATAGTATCTCAAAATTTCTATGAAATTTTTTTACTGCATACTGGAAATACCCAAATGGCTATTTTTGAATTAGGAATTAAAAATTAGGATTGTGGCATTATTTTACTGCTACATCCCTCTAGTTCCTATGTGACAGTTTTTGTTTCATTAAAAATTTGTTCTTTACCATTTATTTTTTATAACAGTGTTTGTTAAACTAGATGCATATTTAGGATTATGAGGTAAAACATTTTACATTTTGAATTTTATCTTACAAGATCTTATGTTAACCAATAATACACATTTATTGAGTGCTTACACTGTTCTGAATACTTTGCATGAAATATGTGAAATAAAATAATGTCTTAGAAGACATTTTATAGGTAGGTAACTTAAATCACACACCTAGTGGTAGAAGAGGCATTTAATAGTTGAAAGATATTTTCTTCTAAAATTAACTTTGTCTTTTAATATTTCTATAATACTTGAAAATCTTGATTTGGTTTGGATGTTGTTATAGGACAGCTTAATCCATACTAGATATTCTTTTTGGAGAAAAATTTAAATATAAGCTGTAATCTGAATATTGTAATAAAGGGTAGAATAAAGTAATACAAATTCTTACTCCTAAAGAGAATAATCATTTTTAAAGTTTTAGTTCATGTAACACTCAGGGAAGTAAAATTTGGTAATTTGAGAGGGACCATTTCAAATTTCATTCCTTAAAAATAAATGGACAGAGAGAGACTTCTGATTAGGTAAAGATAGTCATTGAGTTTTTTTGTGCTGAAGCAGAGAGAAAATGTGGGTTTGTAATTCCTTTGAGCTTTATTATTCTGTTAGTAGTGTTTGGAGGCATAGAGCTGTTGGTGGAAGGTAGAAGGGAAGATATTAAGGAGCAGAAGAGCTATCGTTTTAATTATTTAAGGATTATAAGCTCTTATATCTGTGATTGGAGCATGCATTTCACAAAGCCATAGCACAACCTCATACCACCACTACTTGTTGGTGATAGCATTCTCTAGCTGCATGTAGAGTAAGATAACTTTTTGAGGCATGAATTTGCAAACCTCAATAGGGAATTAAAATAATGACCACATAGAGAAATCAATTTTATATTTATTTTTTATATTTTTAAAAAATACCTCTACTAAAAGTACCTTAAATATTTTTAGTTTTACCTATATTGTATACAAGTGGTTCTCAAACTTTAAAAGGCTTCTTAGATCACCTGAGGTGCTGTGTGATATGTTGTAGGGTATAATTTGATAAAATTCACTGAATTCCTGTTGGGCCATCATTTATCACTAATTAAAATGACCAGTCCCTAAGGATACTGAACAATATTCTTTAGTTCATGGTTTTTTTCTTCTGCATTTGCTTAATGGGTACTTGGGCAGAATTAAAATAATACACTTTTATAAGAAACCATGTATGATTCTAAACGTTAAGATTCCTATTGAATTTTAAAACAATAGTCTATTTCTAGAGCAATTTAGGTTTATAGAAAAATTGTGCAGAAAGTACAGTTTTCTCATATATCTCTTCTTCCCTCCAGCCCTCAGTTTCTTTCATTAAATATCTTGGATTGGTATAGTACATTTGTTACAGTTGATGAACCAATACTGATATATCTATCAATTTTTTTGAAAACACTTGTCATCTAGTTTAATAGATTAATATAGTTGTTTCTTTAAATCTTTATACATGCTTAGTTGGGACAACTATTTTTTATTTACTATTGTTCATTCTCTTAATGCTAATGAAACATAATTGCTCTTATCTTTTTAGGGTGGAATAATTAATGATAGTTCTGAATTAATTGGTCCTGCTGAAGCTCACTCAGATTCCCTCATTGATACCTTTCCTGAGTGTAGTACAGAAGGTAAGAGATTTTAATTTTTTTGCATTTCAAAGTTTTTGATTGCAGAAGACTATAAATTATATCTGCATTGCAAAAAGACAGATGTATATAGGAATTTGAGGGTATTTCACTGATTCTAAGATACACTTTTTCTTCACATTTTGCTGTCACTGATATTGGGTGCATGATATTAGGTTCATGACAACTCACATTTAATTGGCAGCTTTTCTTTTCTTAGTGGAATATAAAATAATGATTCATCCTCCAATTAGTGGCATCTTAGAGTTGATGAAATATGGTATAATGAGTAGTTTGGAGTTTGTATTGTCTAGTGTAAGGATGCCTTACTCGGCCGGGCGCGGTGGCTCATGCCTGTAATCCCAGCACTTTGGGAGGCTAAGGCGGATAGATACCTGAGGTCAGGAGTTTGAGACCAGCCTGGCCAACACGCCCGTAATCCCAGCTACTGGGGAGGCTGAGGCATGAGAATCACTTGAACCTGGGAGGCAGAGGTTGCAGTGAGCCGAGATTGCTTCACCACACTCCAGCTTGGGTGATGGAGCGAAACTTTGTCTCAAAAA